TTGAGGCTCGACCCAGCTCGCTTGGGAGCCGAGATGAGGCGGGAAGGGGCCAACCCACCTATCGCACTTAAAAGTTCTGTTGTGCGCAGCGGAAATTTCGGCAGCACCTCTGGTGCTCGACAAGAGAGTAGATCTCAACTAAATCCCTGTTTCACAGAGGAAACAAGAACTGAAAGCAAAATATCTCAACAAAGTGGGATATCAGCTCTTCCTCTCATCAGTTCTAGGCCTAACATGTCGAGGGAACCTAAACAAACTATTACAAATTATGGCACGAACAATCAATTTTAACATAGTTCGGCAAGTTGCATACGTCCAAGGGGCAAGGAGGGGAGAGATCTACTATTAAAGGGAGAGAGTACAAATAGGGTTTACAATCACACAAATTAAACTCTCAACAATCACTCAAATCCCTCATAATCTCTTAATTCCTCTCTCAAACGGACAGCCGCAAAGAGTCTGCAATTTCCCCTCTGCACTTGCTAGACGACTGTGCCTTTGTTCTCTTAGCCGATTTTTCTCAGCCGACTTTTCCCAAGCCAACGAAGCCCCTTTTTGCTCTCCGCCCTACCTTGCACTTTTTCACCAAGCACAGCCGTCGAAAATTTCCCCTTTCTCACTCTTGCACACAATCCTAGGCAAAACTAGGGTCCCTATTTATAGCTGCAAAGTGGGATACGGGTGGGCAATGGGCATTCGGGTGGGCCAACAATTGATCACGTGAACATGATCTCTTCATGTGGAGCTCAAAAACTACAGGTCCTCTCTCACGAACAAATTCGTGGCCCCCACTTAACGCTATCACGAGATAGCCTTCCGCTCCCTTCTATCTTTTCACTTGTGAAGGTGGACCCCACTCACAATTCTCCACCTCGGTGAAGTTTTCCCAAAACTGAGCCGATACCAACCAAACCAAATATCTCACTTGGTGCGTCCAGTACGAAGTAAAACAATTCACGATAACAGACTCAATCCACAATAAGTCGAGACCCTAATGAGAATGCAAACACTCTCCAAATATCGGTATCAACTCACCAAATCGGCTGCATCATAAAATGACTGCCTATGTATCATCTTGCTCAAGGAATCAAGCATTCACATAGTTCATCCAAATGGTCACGAACGACCACAATCCAATAGAAGAGTTCACAACCCTTCTCCAATATCATTAACTTTGTAGCTGATAACACCTCCAATGGCCTCAAAGTGTAATGAATCAAACACATTCACCTGAGGTGAACCAATGGCCATATCCAAACTACATCTATCAGCTGCACTCGAATCAAAACCCAACTCATCGTCTGCATCCAAAACCAATTGATCCTCAAGCTGTGTCACCTCAGCTGGAATCTCAAACAATACAAAATAATCTGGAGAATGTGGAGTAATCTCCACCCAATGTGAAGTAGCATCACTCTCCACCTGCTGTGATACCTCTATGATCTGTCCAAAACTCTCCACCTACTGAGAGTCAATAGGCTCCCTCATCGCAGCCTCATCCAATGTGACGTTACCAGACCAAATATCCAATTGAGTTTTACCTCCAATCACAGCAGTTGACAACTCTTTAATAGGATGATCCAAATACGTCGAAGCCTTAATCCAGAAAGTCTTCTGCAGACCATTGCTTGACAACAAACACCAATCCTCCTCCTGCAAGGCATGGTTCTTCAAATTTGTCACCCTATCTAGTGTCCCGAAGATTTCCTTTCCAACAAAGTGTCTCGAATGCCGTGAGCTCGGCTCCAATACAGAAACAGATCCATCTTTTATCTCCCACCAAAATTAGAATGAAGTACCTTCACTTTTCTGTTTATCACACACTTCTTCAATCTGTTGGAGACTACTAGGACTTTATCCAAAGGAGATTTGGTTAAAACCCAAACACGTCTAGAATAGCCATTAACAAAGGAAACCAAATATCTATTTTCTCCAAATGATGCCTCCTTGGAAGGCCCCCAAACATCCATGTGAACCCCATCTGAAAGACCCTCTGTGCGGTGAATAGAGGTGCCAAACTTCACATCGGTCTTCTTGCTCACACCAAAGTGTTCATTGGATTTCAAATTGTAGGTCGTTGCACCCATCTTCAAATTAATATTGTAATGACTAAGCCCTAAATGCCGCAGTCTAGTCGAATCAACAGAAGTCGTCAGCTCTCCACCTGTCACTGTATCTCTAATCAAATAGTATAGGTTATTCCTCCTGACGTCCTTTATCACAATCAAAGGGTCTTCCACGATCTCGAGAACCATGTCCTCAACACGAACCTTCAAACCCTCTCCAACCAAAGCTCCAATTGAGAACAAGTTCTTCCTCAAAGAAGGGATATATCTCACATCATATAACTCTCTAACAGTCCCGTCAAACATCTTGATTCGAATACTTCCTATCCTAAGGATCTGACATGCACAATTGTCTCCCATGTACACCACACCACTATCTAGCTTCTCAAAACTGGAGAATCATTCTCTTCTAGGACACACATGATAGGTCGCACCACTATCCAATATTCACTCGGATTCCTCCGAATAGCTACTTGTAGGACTGATAGAAAGCAAATAAATAGAAGTATCAGAAATATTATCATCCGATATAACGATGTTTGCTTCTGATGATGGTTGCTTTCATTTTCCCTTCTGCTTATTTTTCATCCATTCGTTGAGTTTTGGACAATCTTTCTTCAAATGACCAGTCTCCTTGCACCAAACACACTGATCTTTTTTAACTGTAGGATGCTCTACTCTAGACTGTGACTTCCAATTCTTTAGGTTTGAATTCTTCACTCTTGTGACCAATGCCTCCGCTATTGGCTCAACTGAAACCTCCTTATCCTTCTTTCGAAGCTGATAGTTCACAAGTACAGCGGTGATCTCACTATACGAAAGGGACGCCTTCCCATTAATTAGGGTAAGAACAAAGGTCTCGTATTCCTCACCAGGAAAGGAACTCAACAACAGCAAGTCTTGTCCTCATCTTTAATCATAACATCCACATTCACCAAATCCGTAAGAAGCTTCGTGTAGTGATTCATGTGATCACTAATGGAGGTTCCTTTCTTTAATTGGAAGCGATAAAGCTTCATTTTTAAATGCAAGCGATTTTCTACACTCTTGGTCAAATACTTGCTCTCAATGGTCTCTCAAATCTTCTTTGCAGAAATCTCATTCATCACATCATACTTTAGATCCTGTGTTAAATAAGACCTAATTACACCACAAGCCGTCCGATTCATCTTCTTCCAAACCTTCTCTTCAATATCATCTGGCTTGCCATCCAACTCCAAAGTATCTTTCAAATTTTACGCGTTCAGCACATCCAAAACTTCGCATCGCCAAAGCCCAAAGCTGTTCGTGCCATTAAATTTCTCCATATCTATTTTCGTAGATTGGATATTCAAACTTTGAATGGTCTTCACACCAGAAGCATCACCCTCAACACCTTCTTTCCCGACCAAATTCCTCAACACACCAATAACCAATGCAGAACAAACTGAAGAATAGATCCCACTTGAGAAAGATAGAGCATTTATCAAAAAGATCCCACCTTTAACTCTAATTGAAACCCTAGACGAGCTTCCAAAGGGATCTATTCCTCCAAATTGCCCAAGGGTAGCCCGAGCTCTGATACCACTTGTTGTGCACAGCGAAAATTTCGGCAGCACCTCCGGTGCTCGACAAGAGAGTAGATCTCAACTAAATTTCTGTTTCACAAAGGAAACAAGAACCGAAAGCAAAATATCTCAATAAAGTGGGATATCAGCTCTTCCTCTCATCAGTTCTAGGACTGACCTGTCGAGGGAACCTAAATAAACTATTACAAATTACGACATGAACAATCAATTTTAACGTGGTTCAGTAAGTTGCCTACGTCCACGGGGTAAGGAGGGGGGAGATCTACTATTAGAGGGAGAGAGTATAAATAGGGTTTACAATCACACAAATTAAACCCTCAACAATCACTCAAATCCCTCACAATCTCTCAATTCCTCTCTCAAACGGACAGCCGCAAAGAGTCTGTAATTTCCCCTCTGCACTTCCTAGCCGACTGTGCCTCGGTTCTCTTAGCCGGTTTTTCTCAGCCGACTTTTCCCAAGCCAACGAAGCCCCTTTTTGCTCGCCGCCCTGCCTTGCACTTTTTCACCAAGCACAGCCGCCGAAAATTTTCCCTGCTCACTCTTGCACACAACCCTAGGCGAAACTAGGGTCCCTATTTATAGCTGCAAAGTGGGATACGGGTGGGCAATGGGCATTCGGGTGGGCCAGCAACTGATCACGTGAACGTGATCTCTTCACGCGGAACTCGAAAACTACAAGTCCTCTCCCACGAACAAATTCGTGGCCCCCACTTGACGCTATCACGAGATAGCCTTCCGCTCCCTTCTATCTATTCACTTGTGAAGGTGGACCCCACTCACAAGTTCTTGCTTTTATTTTTTTTATTTTATATTGTTTATTTTATTGTCTTTTAAGTATTGTTGACACTAAACTTGTTTATGTTCAAATAAGAAACTAACAATTTTACGACTATAAGCAATAGCAAATAATTTTATTAATAGTTCTATGAACATCCAGACAAATACTTCTATTAATAGTTCGATAAAGTTAGCAAAGTTATATCAATTCCTTTAAAATGTGGAGCTTTTTAATTGCAGATGCTCAAATTTCAGTTCAATTGGTTCACAAAATATATATATTTAGGTTGATAAAACTATTGTCAAAATTGAGGAGAATAATAATGTAAAATTGTAGGCACGCCGGGATGAGCACGTCAGCGGCGTATAGGGGTGGACCTAGCTTGCTCAATGGGCCAAGCGGGATGAGTGGGATATTAGCCCATATGGGTCGAGGCCAACCCAGCTCGCCTCACAGCCCACTCAACAAGCGGGCCGAGACCATCGAGTCGGGCCGGGACGAAATGCATGCCGAGTGAATGAGCTACCAAGCCAACTCCGACCAGCGCCCATGCACCCCTGTGCGGAGCTAAATAAACGATTAGTCAAATCAGGCTCCAAAATAGTTTTTGAGTCCAAGAAATTGAGCACGCAACAAAAACGCAGCATCCGCTTAGAGGATCTAAGATGGCTCTGGTTCAAATTCGAATTTTTGACTTCGTCAAGGAGAAAGTATGAACGTGAGAATCATCAACAGATATCGCATTCTGATTGTAAACAGTAATGATGATACGTACGTAGTCTCTAATCTTCTTCATTGTGAAACCTCCTGAATTTCGAGGAAATGAAGCCGTACGTATTCGTGGTCCTTTTCCTAGTGGGAGGCATAATCAAGGAACTGGACGGACGCACCGAGGAAACAAAGTTCGCTCTCTTCTCTAGCGTCCCCATATTCCAATAAGAGAAGGGCTCTTCCGGCTCTCTTGGACAGCTATAGTTTTTTCGCTCGTGAAGATGTCGTCGTGCGCTATTCAGATTGAAAGCATGAGGGTTCTGCGAGCCAAATCAGATGAGATCGCATAAAAATGTTCAGTACAATATTTCTGAAGAAATTTGCAAAATAGACCTATTTTGCTAAATATTTAGCAAAACAGACCGTTTTGCTAAATATTTAACAAAATAGACATCGTTTTAGCCAACATGCCAAAAAGAGATCGATTTTGCAAAATAGACCATTCGAAACATACGGAACTAGTAGTCTCGTATGATTTAATGAGAGATTAAATCATACGGGACTACTAATCTCATATGTTTCGAATGGTCTGTTTAGCAAAATCGATCTTTTTTTTGCCAACAGGCCAAAAAGATGTATATTTTGCTAAATATTTAGCAAAACGGATTGTTTTGCTAAATATTTAGCAAAATAGGTCTATTTTGCAATTTTTTAAATATTTCTAGGTCATGCATGCAGTATCAATAAAAGCAACTTAGCTACCTAAAAGAAAATCTACCAGGATAACACAACCAGCAGCAGATGGCTCTCTACATAGTCCTGGATCAGGTTGCATGTAAACAAGGGTTAATCGTGCACAGACCCCTTGCAGGATTGTTTTGCACTTACTACCCTGTAGTTTTATTGTCGCATATAGACCACAGGATTTTTATTTTTATTTTTTTATTATTTTCTTGTGTAGTAGGTTGCCTCAAATACTCAAATCCATATTGCTTTGGGAGTTCCTTTTAAGGTTGGTTTGTTTTGATCAAGAGTCCTACTTACATTAGAGTTTGCACAACCAATCATGTTAGAGGTTTATTTCTACTTGGACTCTTGTTGTGTTTTAGGATATGTGGACTTCTATTCCTATTAGAACTCTTATTCCTTAGATAGCAAGGAACTGGAATATTCAAGGCTATATAAGAACAATCTTTCAAACCAATTAGATTCATCAATCTTCAAAGCACCAATCAAGAAGAGAGTTCTTTTGTGAAGCCTATTTGATATTCTTCTCTTTTGTTCCTTTTATTTAGAGAGATTGTACGGGAATTTTAGGGTGTTATTTGAGATTGAGAGATTGACAGATTCCACTTTGTATTCCCCACAATTAATAAAGCTTTTCTCCTCATTCGCCCGTGGACGTAGGCTACAAGCCAAACCATGTATATCTTTGTGTTCGTGTGTTCTTGCTATTTATCGTGCTCTCGTGTGATTAATATTAGCTTATCCTGGAGAGTTTATCTTAACAAATTGGTATCAGAGCTCTCAGCTATCGATCAGACGAGAAGATGACGACAACATCAGTTTCAGCCTTTGGTAAGTTTGGATGATCGCCGTGTTGACACAGAGTGGATTGAAGAAGGCTTTGTTCGGGAAGTCGAAAAAACCGGTTACTATGACGGAAGAAGATTAGAACGAGTTGGATGATAGAGCTCTCACAACGATCCAGTTATGTTTGACAAACAAAGTTTTGTAAGAAGTTCTTACGGAGAAAACAGCCGTTGATTTGTGGTTTAAATTGAAGGATTTGTATTTGACGAAGTCGCTCACTAATCGCCTCCTCTTGAAGCAGCGTTTGTACACACTTCGGATGTCAGAAGGAACACCCAACAAATCTCATATAAGTGAATTTAATTCTGTGATTACAAATTTGAGTAAGATTGATGTTAAGATCGATGATGAAGATCAAACTGTATTGTTATTGTGTTCTTTACCACCTTCCTACAAGCACTTGAGGAAATCAGGGATACTATGATTCACGGTCGAGATTCTATTGATATTAAAGATGTTAAGAGAACTTATTAAATAAGGAGAAGATTGATAAAGAATTAATCACAAGTGAAAGTGGCGATAAAATTAATGGCTTATTTGTTCGAGGAAGATCAGAAAAAAGGACTTTGGAGATAACAAGTATAAGTCAAAACATATGAATCTGACCTGCAGATATTACAAGAAGAAATGGCACATCAAGACCGATTGTTACGGATTGAAAAACAAAAATAAATAAGAAGAGCATGAAGAAAAATCAAAGGAGGACTCCGCTGAAGTTGATATGGCTAAAGATGTGATTTTGTTGGTTACATATGATATAAATAGGAGCATGGATGATTGGATTTTGGATTTGGGTTGTTCCTATCATATGTGTCATAATCGGGACTGGTTTACCACTTATGAAGCTATTGATGGTAGAGTTGTTCTTATGGGGAATAACGCCTCATGTAAGATTGTTGAGAAATGCACAATTCGGATTAAGATGTATGATAGAGTCATCAAGACTTTGACAGATGTTAGGCATGTTCCAGGTTTAAGGAAAAATCTCATCTCTTTGGACACTCTTGATAGCATTGGGTGTAATTTTTCAGGAGAAGGTGGAGTTTTTAGGGTTACAAAAGGCTCTCTTGTGGTTATGAAAGGAAAGAAGATCGATAGCTTGTATGTTTTGCAAGGTTCTATCATTACCGGCTCAGCTGCAGATGCATCGTCAATGTCAGAAGTTGATACTACCAGATTATGGCATATGAGACTTGGTCATATAAGTGAGTGTGGATTGACCGAGTTGAGTAAGAAAGGTCTTTTATGTGGACAGAGTACAAGAAAATTAGGATTTTGCGAGCATTGCATCTTTAGAAAACAGAAAAGAGGCAGCTTCAGTAAGGTAGTACATCAGACTAAAAGTACTTTGGATTCTATTCATTCAGATCTTTGGGGACCTTTTCAAGTTTCCTCGAGGGGTGGTAGTTCTAGATATTTATTGACCTTCATTGATGACTACTCCAGGAAGGTTTAGGCCTGCTTTTTGAGACATAAATATGAGGTGTTTGTGACTTTCAAGTAGTGGAAGTATTTGATTAAGAAGCAGACTGTGAGGCTGATTAGAATTGATAATGGCCTTGAATTTTATGGAGGGGAATTTAATGAGTTCTGCAAGTAGGGAATCGTAAGATATCGTACAGTCCCTTGCACGTCGTAATAGAATGGAGTGGCAGAACGTATGAACAGAATTCTATTAGAGAAAGCTCGTTGTATGATGTTCAATGCAGGTTTAGGCAAGGAATAATGGGTAGAAACAGTGAATACAGCTTGTTACTTAGTGAATTGATCGCCATCTACTGCTATTAGTTGTAAAACTCTAGAGATTGTTTGGTCTGATAAGCCTGCGGATTATTCTAATCTTAAATATTTGATTGTCATGTATATGTGCATGTTAGTCAAGGGAAACTTTAGCCGTGAGCGAAGAAGTGCATATTCTTAGGTTATGCATTGGGTGTTAAGGGTTTTAAATTATGGTGTCCTGATCCGAAGTTTCCTAAGATTATTATTAGCCGTGATGTTACTTTTGATGAATCTGCTATGTTCCATCAGAAATGATCATCGGTTTCAGTTGTTGATAAGGCGCGCACTATAGGACATAAGGTGGAGTTAGAAATTCGTGATTCAGCTCTTCAGTAGAATAAGACTACAAGAGTTCAACAACCAGATCCCATTCAAGTAGGTAAAGCACCTCAGCAGCTGTAGGAAGAGCGAGAATACACTATCGCTAGAGATCGGTCTAGTCGAGATATCCGACCACCGCAAAGAAATGAAGATACAGTAGCTTATGCATTGTCAGTTAATAATTTTGTGCCCTTCAGCTATTCAGGAGCTACTTCATGTGATGAATTTACTAATATTTACAGTCGTCGTACAGACAATTCAGTCGATTTGTTGAGGAGGTCTCTTTAGTTAGCAAGTTCAAGCCGAGCTTGGACTTGATCGATACGTGCCGCACTACGGGGCTATTGGAGAATGTGGAGTAAGTTAGCTTATTTTGGAGTGAGGAATCTTCTACGCATTTGAGTTAAGGTGGAGATTTGTTATCGGTTGCCTCAAATACTCAAATTCATATTACTTTGGAAGTTTCTTTTTAGGTTGATTTGTTTTGATCAAGAGTCCTACTTACATTAGACTTTGTACAACCAATCATATTAGAGGTTTGTTTCTACTTGGACTCTTGTTGGGTTTTAGGACATGTAGACTTCTATTCCTATTAGAACTCTTATTCCTTAGACAGCAAGGAGCTGTGATCTTCAAGGTTACATAAGAACTGTCTTTCAAGCCAATTAGATTCATCAATCTTCAGAGCACCAATCAAGAAGAGAGAGTTCTTTTGTGAAGGATATTTGATATTTTTCTCTTTTGTTCCTTTTCTTTAGAGAGATTCTACGGGAATTTTGGGGTGTTATTTGGGATTGAGAGATTGAGAGATTCACTTTTTATTCCACACAAATAATAAAGTTTTTCTCCTCCTTCGCTCGTGGACGTAGGCTACAAGCCGAACCATGTATATCTTTGTGTTCGTGTGTTCTTGACATTTTTCGTGCTCTCGTGTGATTGGTATTAGCTTATCCTGGGGAGTTCGTCTTAACATCTTGTTTATTTTTTTCATTTATTTGACTTTTTTACCCTATATAAGAGAATTTGACAGATTTGGCCTTGGGTGAAATTAATCAGTGTATCTGAGGATAAAGTTGAGTAGCAAAATATATTTTCTCAATACATCTGTACCCCTGCTGACAACCTTGCTTGATTTGGATATCAAGAGTGCTTTAATGGAAAATGTCATAACTATTATTGTATTTGGCATTAAAATTAAAGTAATTCTCCGACGAAATGGTCTTCATCCTGCATAAACCAGACTACCAGAGGGTGAGAGGGGATCCTATACTATAAGATTGACTAGGCAAGATTGAATTTAAAGACCAAAATAATACAACATAACAAGTAGAATCATTCAGCTAGCATCCGACTATGAATTCAAGTATTGCCAATTGAATCAAACTGAAAAATACATCAAAATATGCAAGCTGCCAACTGAATCAAACTAGCAAACAGAATCAATATAGCACAACAAAGAGATTCTTACATGAAAATTCCTGCTTGCAGAGGAAAAATCGCCAACTCCATCGCGAGAACTAGACCCTACAGAAGGAAACAAAAACAAAAATAGTAATAAATTAGACTCCAAAATTAAACCTCACTACCAATGTACAACAAGAAACAACCTTTCAAAAAAAAAAAAAAAAACTCACCTATCCTTCTCCCAACAAGTTTAGCAGTACAATGTCGAGGGAACTGAGACGGGTCGTCAGACACATCAACCAACTCATCTTCATAATCGTGAGCAGACGGCCTTAAAGGCCCAACATTGGGCCGGGCCTGAAACGGGCCGAAGCTCATGGCGAGGTTCGATGGCTCCACGATTTCCTCCTTGGTAGTTCGAGGAGGAGGAGGAGGGGGCAGAGGGTTATTCGGCATGAAACTGCGAGGTAAGCGAGATTTGAGGTTGATGGGGATGAAGTTATCATGAGAATTTGGGCACAGTCGTCTGATCCAAGAGGAGTCGAGAGCCATTATTCTCTGCTCGCTGTTGTTCTTGCTCACTAGCGGAATCCAAGGCGTCGACATAGTTGCAGCTGAGTTTGTTGCTTTGGAGGAACATATAGACATTCATCTGGTGAAGGATTAGCATGGAGGACTGTGGGTTGGCAGCATGGAGAATCCGAATCATGCCACTGGGCATGGTTTGTAGCCCCCAACCTGGACACAGGACATGATTCTTTGGATTTGCATCCTCTCCATTTTTTTTTGGGAAAAATGTGTCCAGGCCCTAAAAACAGAAACTTCATGTGCTGCAGCCCCTCCTAGTTTCCCCCATGTGGTTCAGCCCCTTGAAGTGTGACATTTTGTGCTGCAGCCCCTTTTTAATAATTATTACATGCCAACTAAGCTAAAATCCCCAAAATAGCCTTATCTCTTCTTCTCAATCCTTCAAACCCAGTTCTCTCTTCTCTCTCTCTCTCTCTCTCTCTCTCTCTCTCTCTCTCTCTCTCTCTCTTTAAAAACAAGGGCTTTCTAAAGCTCGTCGCTCTGGCCCTCGCCCTCCTCGCCGTCGCCACCTCCGCCCAGGCTCCCAAGCCTCCCCCGAGTTCGCCGCCGCCTCCCCTCCTCTCCTCCGCCCGACCTCGTCGCGGTAGCTCGCCGTCGCTCCCCTTCTCGCCCTCGACTACGCCTTGATTGAGAGCTCTTGCTATTGGCCCTAGCTGCATTAACAAAGGCAACAGCATGTAGTGATGATGGGCAACCTGAAGAAAAATAAAGAAAATGGCAAAGAAGGAGATCATTAGACTCTACAGAACAAAACCCATTACAGAAAACTTTGCCTGAATTGAAAGTGTACCTTCAGTATTGGCTGCAACTGTGTCCAAAAATCATCTTTTAGTGGGTTTAGAGGCTTTAGGAAAATAACCCAGAGAGAGGACTGAAGGATCTTCTTCATCAATCCAATTTCTCTCCTTTGACGCCATCAGATTAAGTAGCTTTGGACAAACTTCACTTTTCTTTCTAAACTCTTCTCCCATTTTTTAACTCAGACTGGAAAAACAGAGCCCGATAGGAGGAGCTAAGAAAAAATGTCAAAAAAAAGTTAGTTCTAACACGCGGGTACAGTGTTAGTTCTAACACGCTGCAGTGTTAGTTCTAACACGCTACCGTGTTAGAACTAACACTGTAGCGTGTTAGAACTAACACTGTAACACTGTAGCGTTTAAGTCTCCTGATACTTCTCCCATTCCTTTGTAGGTGGTTTCATTTATGAAAGAAATTGGTTTTGATGGCAGAACCATAGGGAGAATATTATGTCGCTGCCCAGAGATATTTTCTGCTAATGTCGACAATACTCTCAGGAGGAAAGTACAATTCCTCACAGATTTTGGCATCTTGAGAGGTCAACTTCCTCGTGTTATTCGAAAGTATCCCGAGCTTCTTCTGTTAGACATCCATCAAACTTTACGTCCAAGGTATAAAAAGTGTCATGCTTATGAAGTTCTCTAACGTTTCTGTAATAAACATCATTTATGTTATTTTCCTTGAAGTTTTAGTTTCAAATGTGGAATTAGTCATATTACTTTACTCCATGCACGACTCTTTCCTGCTTATTCTGCATATGAGGCCAAGTTTTTTGTGGAAAGATCGGATCATATACCTTCTTGTGCCCAAATGCAGAACATGGTGCTCCCAATACAGGATTTTTGGTAAGATCGTTAGTGCACCAAGTAGACTTACTTCATTCTTTAATAAATTTATGGGGTTAAACTTGTAATTAGGTTTGTATGCCCGAAAATTCCATTAGGTCAATTACCATCAATTATTTCCCCCCAAAACCCCAGATCAATTATTTTTTTCTGTAAAAAATCCAAATTAGTGCGTGTTAGTTCTAATCTGTACAGTGTTGGTTCTATTCCGTAGAGTGTTGGTTCTAATCTGCACAGTATTAGTTCTGTTCTGTAGAGTGTTAGTTCTAATCTGCACAGTGTTAGTTCTCTTCTGTAGAGTGTTAGTTCTAATCTGCACAGTGTTAGTTCTATTCTGTAGCGTGTTAGTTTTAATCTGCACAGTGTTAGTTCTATTCTGTAGCGTGTTAGTTCTAATCTGCACAGTGTTAGTTCTATTCTATATCATGTTAGTTCTAATTTATACCACGTTAGTTCTATTTTATACCGTGTTAGTTCTAATTAATAACAAGTTAGTTCTATTTTATACCACGTTAGTTCTAATTTTAACCATATTAGTTCTAATTTATAACAAGTTAGTTCTAATTTATAACAAATTAGTTCTAATTTATACCACGTTAGTTCTAATTTATACCAAGTTAGTTCTAATTTATACAATGTTAGTTCTATTTTATACCAAGTTAGTTCTATTTTATACTCCATGACAAAATCCAAGCAAAGATAAGAATACCAACATCAAATTTAGACTGCCTGATACTTTTGTACAAACCAATTTAGACTGCCTGATACTTAGTCTTATGTGTACAAACCAATTTAGACTGCCTGATACTTTTGTAGGTATATAATGAAAAGACTGAAGGGAGTTTTTGTAACATTTCAAGGACCAATCAAAATTTCTCAATTTATCATAGAACACATGACGTCAAGCGGCATTAAGTCAAATTTTGATACACGAAACTTTTTGCAGGTCTGCATCTATAAGAAATCCAAATTATTTTGCCGGCGTAGTAAAGGGCGAGACGGGGAGCGACGGCGAGCTACCGCGACGAGGTCGGGCGGAGGAGAGGAGGGGAGGCCGCGGCGGCGAACTCGGGGGAGGCTTGGGAGCCTGGGCGGAGGTGGCGACGGCGAGGAGGGCGAGGGCCAGAGCGACGAGCTTTAGAAAGCCCTTGTTTTTAAAGAGAGAGGTGAGAGAGAGAGAGAGAGAGAACTGGGTTTGAAGGATTGAGGAGAGGAGATAAGGTTATTTTGGGGATTTTAGCTTAGTTGGCATGTAATAATTGTTAAAAAGAGGGTGCAGTACAAAATGTCACACTTCAATGGGCTGAATCACATGGGGGAAACTAGGAGGGGCTGCAGCATATGAAGTTTCTGTTTTTGGGGCCTGGACACATTTTTCCCTTTTTTTTCCACAGCAAAAAAGTATTGGAGAGGCCACAGCTTTCATTCTACTCCATTGATTTTATTTCAATGGTTGAGATAGAATTAATCTTTCTTAACTATAATTATGGGAATCAATTAGCCAAACATATCTCCTATTTTCACTCCTATCTAACGTACTTTCTCAATCTTCCATATTCGGTCGTTCTCTATTTATTTTTCAGATTTTTTTTCCAGTCTTTTTTCTTTCTTTTTTTCCTTTTTTTCTCCGCTCCCTTTTTTCTTTTCCTTTTTATTCTCTGACGAATATTCTTTTTTTTTTACTTTCCGATCAAAAGAAAATTTCTTTCAATTTTTTACACTAATTTTTCATATCGTAATATTCATGATTATTCAACATTAGGAAAAAAATTAATTAGTTTTATTTCAAAAATTTGACTTGTAAAATATTTATCTTCATGGCAAATTTTTTATCTAGATTCTAAATTAAAATATCTCTTCATTTTATTTGATCCATAGCATATTTTGTTATGAAATATTTTTGTAATTATTGCATAATGAAATTATATTTTTTGAAATTATATTTGATTCTTTAGGCTTCGCTTGGATATCATGGTGTTTTTTGTCATGTTTTTGTATAAAAAAAAACATCATAGTGTTGTGTTTTACCTTAAATTGTTCTCAAAACGTCATGTTAAGTGTTTTTGATCAACCCTAGTTTGACATGTAACAACATTATTATTATAGTATTATAAATATTAAATATAATACAATATAATACAAAATAATTTTATATAAATGTATTATAATATTATATTGTATTTTAGTGTGTCATATTATACTATAATTATTACATATTTTTTTCAAATAATATAAAATTTTATTATTTTGGTATACCAATTTTATATTATATAATATTATTTTATTATTAATATAATAATATAAAATTATTAATATAATATAATATTATTAATAATGTTAATATTATGTTATTAATATTATATTAATAATAAATTAATATATTATAAATATGTTAATTTTACACAATATATTATTCTTTCTAATATGTTAGAGTTTATTAATAATATATTAATAATTTATGATATAAACAAATACTGTTATATTATGAATATATTATTTTTACATTAACATTTCTTAGCAATAAATTATTTTAGTGTTAAAAATTATTTTACTTTATAATATATTACATTATTTATTCTATAATATATTAATATTTTATATATTATACTACATTTACCATATAGTATATTATGATAATAATATTATTATATTATTGTTCTATTATTAAATATGTTACTATTATATAGTATTTTATAATTATTAATTTACTATAGTGTATTTATTAAAAGTTAATAATATCATCGGTCGACTCATGACTGAAAACTCAGATGCTTAATTTTTTATGAAGACTTGATTTTCTAAATTCAAGTAAAAATAACAAACCAACTCCAAAAATAGTAAAACTTGGTAAAATGTTTATATACATGGAAATAAACATGTTAAAGAAGAAATTTTTGAAATATCATTTCTCGAATGTGAAAACTTATTGTTTTTCAAAAACGTTCAAGATACGAGTTCTTTTAATACTTGATGTTAACAAAATTCTTTCAAACAAGTTTTGAGATTCTTTTTTAATAAATTAATAGACTTTAGAAAAGATGTAAAATAGTATTGTTTAGTCTATAATCCAAAAACTTATTATATTTGTAACGCCCCTGGTTTCACACAAGGCTACAGTCCGAGGTAAATCCAAGGATGACAAACCTGCCATGCACCCATAACGTGCAACGATATATTTTACCATCACAGAAATATCTCTTTAGTGGAATCAAATAAGATAGTACATGTACAAGCAGATATAAAAAATATAAAGAAAGAAAATAGAACATAGACATAAATGATAAATTTCTAGATAACCAGGTCTTAACAGATATAAAAGAAAATATGTCCAACAATCTGATACAAATGATCCAAAAATCTCAACTACAAGAGTCAACTGAAAAATATACATAGGCTCTCAACTCTCAAAATGAAATGCAAGTCTAATAATCAACCAGAATTAAAACTAAACATTTGTGGAGCAGAAACTACTATAAATAAATGACGACGACTATGTTGAAAGTCCGTCAACCTGCGGCTTTCCAAAACTCTT